CCCTCTTCCATCCTCAGACCTGCGGAAGTCTTGGATAATCTGGACGATGTTTTAGCAGGTCTGGCTGCAGTGAGCAGGATCCACGGGCCAGTCGCTTGTACCTCTTGTCTGTTAGAGGACGTGGACAGGGAAGTCGGTACGTCTTTTTGTGTCCCTCTAAACTGTGTCGATAGTCTGAAATTTATATTGTAAATGGTCGCTTTTAAGGACAAGCGGGCTAACCGGAAATCTTGACATACTCCAAAAGTGGGCATTGCCCTACCTATAGAATAAGTTTGGTTTCATTGGTGTGTATTTGTGTTAGGTTATAGAGAAAACTCTCCTTTAAAGAAACTGAACAAGCATCCAAAAACTTTACCTTCAATTTTCTCAAAATAGCATTTTTCGGCGGGATAGCCAAGTAGGCCTAGAGCTTAAAAGCGACCAAATATGCATGTAAATAAGTCTTTTACTATTTTTACAAAGATGTATATAAATGTCTGTCCGTCCTTTTTAACTTGGGTGATAGATATGACCAAAATTGAGTCGACAGTGCCGCAAAACACCTACTTAATCAATGTGTCGATTTTGCTGTTAAATAGTGCTGCCTCTCTCTGCCTCTCTCTGCCTCTCTCTGCCTCTCTCTGCCTCTCTCTGCCTCTCTCTGCCTCTCTCTGCCTCTCTCTGCCTCTCTCCGTCTCTCTCTGCCTCTCTCTGCCTCTCTCCGTCTCTCTCTTTTTATGTCTGTGCCTCTCTCTGTCTGTGTCTGTCTACCTGTGTCGCTGTCTACCTGTGTCGCTGTCTACCTGTGTCGCTGTCTACCTGTGTCTCTCTCTACCTCTCTCTACCTCTCTCTACCTCTCTCTACCTCTCTCTACCTCTCTCTACCTCTCTCTACCTCTCTCTACCTCTCTCTACCTCTCTCTACCTCTACCTCTACCTCTACCTCTACCTCTACCTCTACCTCGCTGTCAGGTCTGACAAACTAACATTTAGCGTTCCTCCCCAGCTGAGGATCTCACCAAGTTTCTGTTCGAACCTCCGAACTCTCCCCGAGGCTCGGGATTCGATCTCGTGTCCCTCAACATCCAACGCGGGCGTGACCACGGCATTCCTCCCTACACCACGTTCCGCGAGTTCTGTAATCTCCCGGCCTTGACAGGATTCAACGATAGGGCGCTGGGTCAGCATGGTTCAAGGTTGGCCACCGTCTACGAGTAAGTAAGACGGGCCCAAGGCCACTGTTGTTTTTTTGTTTCTGGTTCTTTGTTGTTGTTTTTCTTTCTCCATTTTATTTTTGGAGGGAAGGGAAAAGGGATAGAAAACAAGATAGAAAATGAGACTGAGAAAGAATTTATTTGTCGCTTTTAAGGACAAGCGAGCTAACCCAGATTCCGAGGGTTTCCAGAAATCTTGACCTACACCAGAAGAGGGCATTGCCCTACGCATAGAAGTTTAGTTTCATTAGTGTGTATATTTGTTTGATTATAGAAAATGTCCTGGTCGTTGAAAGAAACTGAACACGGGTCCAAACACTTTACCTTCGATTTTCTCAAAACATTTTTCGGGATAGCCCCCTTGTGCTAAAAAAACGACCAATTAGAACTGAGCGAATGGGGATGGTGAAAAAAAGGGGACGGGGGAGCATGGAGAGGGGAAGGGAGGTTGGGGGGTGGGTTGTTCCATGCCATTGGGAATATTATTGCGGGTAGGAAACATGGTACCAGAAATCAAATCCTTGACTCTGGTATTGCTAATGTTGTTGCTGTTATTTTCTTTGCCATAATTATAATTATCATTATTATTGTAATTATCATTATCATCCTGATCATTATCATTATCACTGTCACAGGCATTAAATAGCATTTTTATCTCCATTATCCTCACCATAATCGTCACTATTATAGTATTATGATTTTCAATATTATCACTATCAATATTGTCATTCGTTTTATTGTTTGATTTTTGTTGTTGATATATTTGAGTAGGCCTAGAGTATTTGATATTATATTTCTATCATGTATTATTTACAGAACAAGTTCAACATTAGAAGCGCACGTGCACGCTCATACACACGCATGCACATGTATACACACGCAACATACACAATACACACACACAATCGAAAAAAACACGCACTCATGCGTACGCACGTACACGCATAAAGAACATGCACAATACACGCTCAAAGAGCACACACATACACGCTCAAAGAGCACACACATACACGCTCAAAGAGCACACACATACACGCTCAAAGAGCACACACATACACGCTCAAAGAGCACACACATACACGCACAAAGAGCACACACATACACGCTCAAAGAGCACACACATACACGCTCAAAGAGCACACACATACACGCTCAAAGAGCACACACATACACGCTCAAAGAGCACACACATACACGCTCAAAGAGCACACACATACACGCTCAAAGAGCACACACATACACGCTCAAAGAGCACACACATACACGCTCAAAGTGCACACACATACACGCTCAAAGTGCACACACATACACGCTCAAAGTGCACACACATACATGCTCAAAGAGCACACACAACAGGCACAAAGAACACGCATGAAGAACACACGTATACATAAATTATCATCCTTTTTTGTGTTTGTTACTCTCTTGTACCACCTTAATCTTATATGACCTTATTGTTCCAAGTGCCATAAAAATCTTACTAAAAAACTAAACTCTCTTGTAGCCCCTTATCTTCGACACATATGTAGCATGTATATCACCTTATTTGTGTTGAAAGTGTCGTAAAAACATACGAAAACTGGTCGCTTTTAAGAACAAGCGGGCTAACGCAGGTTTCGGGGGTTTCCAGAAATCTTGACCTACACCAAAAGGGGGCATTGCCCTGCCTATAGAAGTCTGGTTTCATTGGTGTGTATATTTGTTTGGATATAGAGAAAACTCTCCTTGTCTTTTAAAGAAACTGCACAAGGGGTAAGAACTTTACCTTCGATTTTCTGGAAACAAACATTTTTTGGGAATAGCGACCTTGTGCTTTAAAGCGACCAACTTTTTTCTTCCCACATGCAGGTCTGTGGATGACATCGATCTGTTTACTGGATTACTGTATGAGCCACACGTTTACGGTGGAATCATTGGGGAAACCTTGATGTGCCTGATCGGTAACCAGTTCATACATCTCAAATCTGCTGATCGATTTTTCTTCGATACCTCAGAGCTGGAATTTGGATTCACAGACGGTATGAAAGGATGGGAGGGGGAGGGGGGCAATTATTGCAAACTTGATGATGCTTGTAACAGTTTTTGTGGTCGGGTCTGTGTGTGGAGACGGGGCGGGGATGGGGTAAGGAGGGATGAGGGAGGGCCAGGGGTAAGGGGGGAGAGTGAGGGGGAGGGGAAGGGGAAGGGGGTAAAGGGGAAATAAAACAATAAAATGTTTACGGTATTCACATCGGAAAAGAGTTTTATACTCATTCTTTCTTTAGTTGTCTAACGAACGAGTGGGTTAATGCTGTATAAGGGTGCGAATCTGAAAATGACAGAGCAGATACACCTGCCAAACGGGGATCTAGACAGGAACAACCCAACATTCCAACTTCATACAACACTACCAAACAAATTATTAAAAGCAACAACGAACAAGACTGGATGAATAGATGAGCCCTGGGAAAGACTGGCAGAGCAGTTTTCAAACATATGACCACAACAAAAAGGAATGACAATATCAATCAAAGAGAAAGAAACAGACCACGATCTTCTGCCTACGAATAGAGCGTAATATTATACAGCTCAACTTCCACTTGAACAGAATAAACCCAGAACTTACCCTTTGTGTCCCTTATATGACTATGCGCATGAGACTGCGGATCATCACCTTTTCCACTGTACAGCCCTAAATGACATCAGAGCTACACTTCTCCCTCCGAGACCTAACATTGACAACACACTCTATGAAACATTACAGCAACTGCAGCAGACCTGCACTTAACACTACACGGCATTGGACAGGAGGGCCAGAGCCTAGCTGTTGCTGAATCGATAACAAACACAGCAAAGGGTGCGAGTGGGTTAATATTTGGTAAGGGGGCGAGTTGGTTAATGCTGTTTTAAGAGGGCAAGTGGGTTACTATTGTCTGAGGTGCTGAATGGGTTAATGCTTTGTAAAGGAGCGAAGGACTTAAAACTGTTTGATGTTGAGAAACCCTTGGTAACTATTCGATCTGCGATCATTGTTTGCTTATTTGGTTGGGGCGGGGGAGGAGTGGTGGTGGAGAGAAACTGACTGAACGTGTTCTGATCTTGTTGACTTTTCAGACCAGCTAGAAAACATCCGAAAAACAACGCTGGCGTCAATCATGTGTGAGAACCTCGAGATGCCTCAGTTGGTGGTGGATGTGTTCCGACTGGTCTCCAAGTAAGTGTGGCAGTGGCGTTCTCATCACATTCTCGATAGTAAAATCTGTTTTAAAAAATCAGCAAACTTTTCGAGTAGTTCTAAATCGCTAAAAGAATTCGGGAGACGTGTCTCTTTGACCCTTCCTAATAGTTCATCACAAATGCCGAATAATCGTTTACCTGATTTTGAATTTTCCAATTCAGAAACATAGTATTTCTTTTTAGCACATTTAGTTACAAATTTTAGCTCTTGCTTCTTTAATCTAAAAATGTGCTTGTGGATGGTGAGCCCTGTTTTAAGCCATTGTCTCTCTGCCTTCGTGTATTCGATTTTTGCCGCTTATACCTCAAGCCCAAACCATGGTGCATACGGTCTACTCGACAGATGACGACTTACACGTGATGCTTGTCAAGAACTGTCCTAACAGTGGAATTGTGCAAATCGAATTACACAAATCAACACAGACTGTTTTAAGGTCACTTAGAGATTTCAACAAATCCATTTGTAAAATGCCTACTTCAACGATCATCACATTCCCGATAGTACCGTAAAACACCTAATCCAACACGCAATACTCACTCTTGATAGTGCTATAAAACATCTACTCAAACAATCCTCACCTTTGCCCCCCTCCTCTGGGCTCCCGACTCTTTCTGCAGCCTTTCTACTGCTACTCCTTTTACTGCTGTCTTTCAGCCACACCCCTGATCTTCAGGTAGGAAAGATCTACATCTGGCCTTCTCGGACAAGAGCAAAATATCTCTGAGCTCACATGTGCAAATTGTGCACGTTTAAGATCCCTTGGTGGTCTAAAATCGATAAGAGTAGGCTTCGGCCGCCACCCGGGCAAAATTCAAAATTTCCTACCAACCGAAAGTTTAATGTCTGTCACGCGCGGTCATGTGACCTTATGCAGGTGCGAGCGCCGTAAAACATTTACTAAACCTCACCCCCCCCCCTTTTCCCCCAATCCTGGCATTCCTGTTTCAATCTTTTCTCGGTCTAAGACTCTATGAGGACGAAGTGGACACATTCTGTCCAAAGTACCAGCCAGTACTGTAGCACATTTCGAAAATACTACAATAATCAAAAACATTAAAGTTGCAGACTTCTTAATACGCATGTTGCTTCCTGCCTTAAGTTCCAGATACACAAACAGAACTGAAGAAAAAAAAACCCCTGTTTAAGGAAATTAAGCCTTTTTTTTTATCAAAGTACCCCAAAACGAGTTCTCGATACATTTTTTACTGTGCACAACACAGAGGAGAAAGTCTGTCGCAGGTATAATTGTATTCTCTTACAATTCCGTCTCAAATTACTCCACGGTCATCGATAAAATGTAATTTCTTTCTTTACTCATTTAAATCTATTTGATTTATTTATATCTATTCAAAAGCACCTTCCATTTCCTTCACTCTGTCCGCACAGCAACAACAAATTGACTGATTGCCAACAACTGAAAGGCGCCCTGAACCTGAAACTGTTCCAGTAATGAAGCGAATGACCAGCTGTAAGAGTTCTCGCGGGGTGGGTGGAAGGACCTCCCACGCCACAACGGAGACTGGACTTCCAACATGGTTTTTCCCACGACTTTTGCTGTAGGTTTCAACTCCAACCATTGCTTTTGAATACAAGGAATTAGTGTGTATGATGAACAGCAGTCAGTTCCAAGCCAACAGATTACTACTGTTTTGTTGGGACCCTGCGATCAAGCTCGGGAAAAAAGAAAAAGAACAAAAAAATTAACTGGAATTTTGTGGAATTTGCAACTTTTTCAATAGTTTAAGACTTTCCCCGGAACTTTTCCC